CTGACAAGAATTCAAATGTATTAGTGGAATATCAAACTAAGCTAAATTGTGATATTGTAACCGTCACATACTTTACAATATGTTCCGTAACATATACTGGCCATGGCCATGTCTTATTGGCTAAAACTTAATTTCGTCCCCATGTAAGTGTCTATTTTTCATGTTAGAATTCATGTCTCAGACATAATGATGACTCTGCACATGAAATGTCAAAGTCACTGGGGGAAGAAGACCGACCAGTTGGAATAAGCAATGGAATCCCCCTAAACATTTGTATTACCTATAAAACCAGAAGCATCATCCTTCTGCATAGCTCCATGGTTATTCCATACTGAAACTACAATTGCCAAAAAGGTAAGCGCGCATTCATGCTTCTTCATCCATATCTCTATTTACTACGCAGTCCGTAGTTATTATTACGCTCTTTGAAGTTTAAAAGCTCATCTTTGAAGAATACTAAACATATAACGAGCCAAAACCACAAATTGACATGTAATAACGGAAAATGAAAACATCATGTAATATAAAAGCCCAAACTGATTTTCAACATACACTTTATAGAAAATTGAAAGGAAAAAAAAAAATCAGAGTTAATATACCAAATAACAAACTGATAATAACACCAAACATAAATTTTACAAGATCGCATAGTACCAATCCTATCAGTTAGAATCTGAAGCTCCCAAAAAATTAATTAAAAAATAAAATTTTAACGAAATACTAATAGTAATTGATAAGCCCATATCTACTGTACACAATCACAGCATCTTCGCTTAGCTACACAACATTTTAGCTGTTTTTTCTTTCAAGGAAACAAATTGAGGCATGCATCTTTTCAGTTAAGAACATTTAATTTAAGAGCAAAATATGAAACCCTACCAAAAAAAAAGAAAGCTTGAAGCTATTTCGCGGCGATGAGATCACTAAGAGAGAAGGGGTGACAACGAGGGGGAGCACGCAAGTAAGCAGCCGTGGACCCCATCTTCCATGAGCGCCGACCAGCGTGCTCTCTCTCGTTGTCAACTCCATCGTCATCGTCGTCGTCGTCGTCCATCATCATCACCAACCAATCAGATTCCTATTTAATTTACAAAATTAGTATCAAATAAAGATTCGATCAGCAAAGAAAAAGCGAGAGGACACACACACACAAAAAAAAAAAAGAGGGGGGAACAAGCCCTAGATATCAGCAAGCCTGCAAAATTATCTAAAAACCGATGCTCATAGAAAAGAAAAGAAATCGAAACTCATCTTCGCTGATCGATTCAGAAGCTTCTTCTTATCTTCTTCAAGATGTAGGAGTAATAAATGAAAAAAAACGAGAGAGAGAAAAATAGACGAAGACCTGATGCTGCTACCGCTTCCTCGTCGCCCGCCTAAATAAGGCCTCCAATTGTAAATCTTATTGATTTACCGCAGTCAGATTTGACCGAATTACGGTGGGGGCAATGAAATAGGGAAGCACAGGAGTGAATAATCCGCCCATTATTATTCTTATATATAAGCCCTTCACATTCCAAATATTTGAGAGATGTTTATTGGTATTCACTAATTACAACCTCTTTCTTAGCAGGGAAATACTCTTTATAGCTTATGTGCCAATTTGATATTGCTCGAGCTCATAATAAGTTGAATATATAAGAAACTTATAGAAGAAACTCATATAAGCAACTGAAAATAGTTATTTGGTAGTTTATATCATAAGTTGCTTCTAAAATTAGTAAGGTGTAGGTAAAAAGCGCTTAAAACCATTATAATTAAGTTAAATGGCAAAAATAGACATAACCTTAGATATCAAAATACATAAGATAATTTTAAGATAGAAAGGTAATAATACAAAAGCTAAAGGGTATATGAAACTATGAAAGGCAGAAGCTGCTTTTAAATGTATCCTCAAGTTACTTATAAAAGCACCCCTTTTAAAAGGAGCAGCAGTTTTAATAAACATAAAATATAAATTTTATACAAAATTTGTTATTCACTGCTTGTTAAAAAATATCAGAAACAACATAAAAAATAATACCGAAATGATCTTGTGTCTCTGAGAAACTATCAAATCTAAATATTCTCCAAGACTTTCAAACATGAGTAAGAAAAATATTTATATTTGTAATTATGTCTAAATCATGAATATATCTCATCAGATACTGATATATGGATATATGATGAAATATCTGAATTTATATCTAAAATATTTGAATCTAAAGTTGAAATATCTGATATGTGTCAATCACTCATTTTAAATTGGTTTGACCATTAGATTCATAAATTTAAGGTTAACTTTGATGATCCTTCAAATGTAATCTTAGTTTTCCTAGATCCATCAAATATATTGATGGACTATCCTCTCTGTGTGCATGTGTATATATACATATATTCCATTTTGTAATGGATATGGATATGATTTTTTATTATTGAGACGTATCTATATTCTTATATGTATTTATGATTGGCAAGTATGTAGGGATATAGCAAGTTCCACATCTAATTTATACCAGATCCATTTGCAACCCATGCTCAAGCCATTCAAAAATTATCATGTGACATACCTCAAAAAAAAATTCTTTATCTTTTTTCAATGATTTTGAACCAAAAAAGGGCAAATGAAAAATAACAACAAAACCTTTCTGTTGGCCTTATTGTTTTGATGATAATTTAACAAATAATTTACAACTAATATTGGTTTTAGTATTTTGGTTTTGTGTTGTTTAATATACACAGGAAAATAAGCTACATTGATATTGAAGCCTATGCAAACCAAGTCAACCAATCAAGTTCAAGCTTCATATGATTCACTATTGGTATATTTAGTATAGATTTATATGTAATGTGTGCAAATTCTTCAAGCTCAAATTTACAAACACATTTATTTGTGAAATTTCTCAAATTTATATGTAATGTGTGCAAATTCTTCAAGCTCAAATTTACAAACACATTTATTTGTGAAATTTCTCAAATCATAGGTGTTTTTATGCAAAATATATAAGCTCAAATTTACAAACACATTTATTTGTGAAATTTCTCAAATCATAGGTGTTTTTATGCAAAATATATTTTAATATGCTTTGCACTAAACAAACATTATAAACATCTTTCATTAAGTCCACAAAAACATTATACAAGTTTTCAAAACTTGATTTGAGCAAAATGTCAAAATTAACATGTTTAAATACACATTTTCAAAACTTGATTTGAGCAAAATGTCAAAATTAACATGTTTAAATACACATGTATTTTAGTGTTTTTTGAATATTTCTGATTAACATGTTTAAATACACATGTATTTTAGTGTTTTTTGAATATTTCTGAGATTTCACAAATGGTAAGCGCAAAATAAAAAATTTATTTTCTAACACGTTCATATTTATGTTTATAAATTTTTCTAAAGTTTTACATTTTTTAAAATTTATTTGCTATTTTTAAAATATATTTAAAATTCAATTTTACTATTCATAACAGGCTCAAAACCTGTTATCAGTCAACTGATGATCTTTATCAGTCGACTGATGAAAACACCCAGAATTGTCAAAACTATCTGTTTTAACGACTGATGAACTATTAGTCGACTGATTACTCATCAGTCGACTGATGAGGTCTTTAGTCGACCGAGGAGCTGCAAGTTGCATGTAACGGTTAGCTCATCAGTCGACTGATAAACAGTATCAGTCGACTGACTTCTGTACCGGCTAGTTTTTCTAGCTTTCTATTTTTTTAATCTTTTTGCTGGTTTTTCTTGGTTTTTGGGCTTTGGTTTTTTTATCCTATAAATACCCCTTACTGTTTCACTTCTAAAATTATCTAAGTGGGTTTTAACAAGAGTTTCAAAGGGTTTAAAAGATCGTTTAAGTTTCTTTTCAAGTATCTAAGTGGGTTTTAACAAGAGTTTCAAAGGGTTTAAAAGATCGTTTAAGTTTCTTTTCAAGTTTGGTGTTTGTTTACAAAGAGGAGGCTTACTTCAAAGGGTTTAAAAGATCGTTTAAGTTTCTTTTCAAGTTTGGTGTTTGTTTACAAAGAGGAGGCTTATATTGTCGATTGAGGAATTCATACTTAATCACTCTTATCCTCTCTTTGTGTTTATAGAAAAGTTTTCCTAACTCATTTATCTAGAATTTTATTCTTGATTTTCATATCTATATCATTGCTAGTTAATTATTTGAGTTAGATTTTATTGAACTCATTTTATCACACACATCCCTATTTGAGCTTTTAGTATTTCATACATTATATATATTGGGTTGTGGGATTGTGGGATTGTGATATTGTGAGAGTGAGCTTACATTGTGTTCTCATCCATTATAGAGAACAAATCATTTTTATTTGAGCATTAATTGTGTATGACACATTGTATTACATTTGTACACCGAGAGGAGTGGTTGGTGAGAGACGGGGTCGATTCCAAGAGGAGTGGCGTCGGTTATAAAACCTATAGAGAGGTTGTAAATCCGAGCACTTGAGGAAGAGGATACGGGCTAGGCCAATACTTAGAGGGTGCAGAGTGTGTTTACTTTGTGTGTGTTATAAACGTTTGTTGGTAAGCGTTGAAAACCGACTGTGAACGTTTTGGGTGAACGTCGAAAACCCGTCATGATAGTGGATTCTCCCTGAGAGTGGGGAGCGGAGACGTAGGTCGGAAAGACCAAATTTCGTGATCATATTATTGTGTTTGAGTTTGCTTTGTATATATTTCTTTTGTGCTTGTAATTTTCATTCTTGCTCATAACTCATTCATATATCTTTTGTAAGAATTAATTCATCAAGAAAGTTTTTTTAATTAGCATAAAATCATAATTAGATTAGCATTGATCCTATTCACCCCCCCCCCCCCCTCCCCCCCCCCCCCCCTTCTAGAGTCTAACAATTGGTATCAGAGCTTGGTGCTCTTTGATTTGTAGCTTAACTGCCTTGATTTAAAGATCCAAGCTTTCATATTGTTGTTAAACTTATTTTTATATCTTTTTTTGCTTGCACAACACATTATGGATATGCACGGTGCGCCTAGCTTAGGTTATCCCATTAATATTATTCCTCGTTTAGATAATTTCCCCTATGCTCAATGGTGTCTTAAATTTAAGCTATTTGTTAGATCTAGACACTTTGATTTGTGGAAAATTATAGATTGTGCTTATATTGTACCCACTTCGAAGAAATCCAAGTGGAGTAAAAATAATCATAAAATGTTTACAATGAACAAGCTCTTGTTAGAATTTTTACACAATGCTTTTGATTCATCTTTATCTAACAAGCTTGATTCTTTTGATAGTGCTTACAAATTATAAAATTTATAGAAGCACATCAAGGAAACTTGGAGGCGATCCAACGAGTTTTGATGGCTTCCTCTTCAAGTTCTATTGGAGCATCATCATCATGCACTCGGCCACTAGACGATAGCCCTAGTGAGGTATGCGAGTTCGATAACGAAAATAATCTTACTATTGATGAACTCGCACATGGTTATGAATTATTGATGCATAATTATAAAAATTGTAACGTAGCTTTATTGACTTAAAAGCAAGCATGTTGAATTGAAAATCCACTCATGAAACTCTAGCCTATAAGTTTGATGTCATTGCAAGTGAAAATGTAAATATCAAGGAAAGCAATAAAAAACTAAAATTGGAAAATACTAGTTTGTTTCATGATAAATGTGATACCATATTAGAAGTTGAAAATATTAGAAAAGAGCATAATTCTTTCAAAAAATAATCATGCACGTTCTACTTCTAATAACAATGCTTATGTGGAAAATAATGAGTTGAATTATGTTAAAAATAGAATATCCGCCTTAGATTCAACATTAAAAACTTGCATTGTTAATAACAACAAACTTATGGACTTATGTGCAAAGTCACGTGAAAATTCTTCCAAAAAACCTACACATTATGCACATATGTATAACAAGATTTATAAGTATTCCATTTGCGGCCGTAAAGGCCATATTGCTAAATTTTGTTATAATGCACAAAAGCCTAACAAGCTTAATCATGTTTGTGCATCCCATCAAACTTCATCTTCACATGTACACAAACTTAATGATCATCATAAACATGCTCATGTGTACAAATGTGATTTTTGTGGTCGTTTTGGTTATTTGACCAAATTTTGTTTTGATTTGAGAAGAGTTTCCCGTTTGCAAAACAATTTTAAAGAAAAATCTATTTTTGCAAATGAGTCACGTGCACAATCAATTGGTCAATGCAAATCATTTCATCCTTTTTATTGTACAAATTACAATCGTAAAGGTTATTTATACAATTTTTGCTTTGACCGTATCGGTACACAAAATGCGCCCAAATGGGTTCATAACCTAAGGGCTTTAAACTTAAATGATAGGGGTCACCCCTAAATCTTTCGGTACCAAGAATACTTGGGTGCCAAAACAAAATTAAAATAAATTTTTTTGTTTTTTTATAAGTTTTTTTATATAGGATGAGTTTAAAATGATTTTTGTGGAAAATTTATGAATATATTTATATATTTTATAAATAAATTATTTTTGTGTGAAATATTATTTAAGATATGTTTACTCATTAATTAAATA